AGGTTTATAAAAGATGTTTTATGTTAATGTTTATTCACAGAAGAGACAATAGACATTAGGTTTAACAATAATAATAATAATTATTATTATTATTAATGTTTATTAAAAGGAGACAATATATGCTTTGGGTTTATTAGAAGGAGACAATATATTTTATTAAGAGACAAGAGACATTATTAAAAGGAGACAGTTTATGCTTCATGTTTATTAAGGGGAGAGGCCTCACTTTATTAAGACGAGTTTGCCTATTTTTGTTTGTTAAAAGAGACAAGAGACAGTTTGTTTATTAAAAGGAGACAGCATACTTTATTAAAAGAGACAAGAGACAGTTTGTTTATTAAAAGGAGACAATATATTCCTGAAGTTTATTAGAAGGCAGCATACTTAATGCTTATTAGAACAGACAAGAGACAGTATGTTTAATAAAGAGAGACAAAAGATATTAGTATTAATAGTCGTATAAAATTACGTATTGATTTTGTATAGGAGAAGCAACAAAGAGAGACAAACAATCAAAGAAAAAGCGAAGAAGAGACAGCTAAAGGCTCTCCTTCACAAACCCTAAACCCTACGTCCTAAACCCTAAACCCTGCTGATGATTTTTAGGGTTTTAGGGTTTAGGGTTTTCTTGCTTTGGGAGACAAGGAGACAAGAAATGCAGCAGATGAAGAGGAGGAGACAGCAAAAGGAGACAGAGAAATTAACTTAAAGAATGCAGAGCAGCATCTGCTGCTGCTGGTTTTATTTGCTGCTGTCTCTTTGTTGGTGTCTGTCTCCTTTTGTGTCTCTGTCTCCTGCTGTCTCCTTTTGCTTTTCTATCTCTTCACATTCATGCTAGTGTTTCTGTTTAGGGTTTGTCTGTTAAAACAAACCCTAAACCCTAGACCTTCCAGGGTTTAGGGTTTAGGGTTTGGGGTTGTTGACTTCCTTGCTTCTTTTTCTTTGCTGTATCGCTCTCTCCGTTGCCGCTAATTGCGCCCGTACACACTCCCTCTCACAAACCCTAAACCCTAAACCCTAATTTGCTAGGCACTGGGTTTAACATATACCCCAATACTTTAGTTGTTTCTCGAGAGGCGTCTCTCTCTTTATTGTAATTAAAATATATTTATTTCTGAATAAATTATAAACCCTAAGTTATTAACAGAAGCCCTCACCTGCAAACCCTAAACCCTAAACCCTTTTCGCTGGGCCCCGTGCGGGCTGCTGGGGGGCCGCCGGTTCGGCCGGTGGAGAGGCAAACCCTGACGCGCAAAACCCTAAACCCTAAACCCTAAACCCTTATCTTTGTTTTCAAGTTGTTTTAAATATAGAATAGGGCTTTTAAGCCTGGGGTTTAGGGTTTAGGGTTTAGGGTTTACGGTTTTGCTTCCGCAGCTTTCACCCTCCAGGCAGTGGACCTCGTCCACTGCCGACGCTCGCGGACCCGAAACCCTAAACCCTAAACCCTAAACCCTAAACCCTAAACCCTAAACCCTAGACCTTAGACCATAAGACCCGTGTTCTGCATTTCAATGTGCTGTCCTCCCTTCCCGCCACCGACGAATGGTTCCGCCCCGTGCACAAACCCTAAACCCTAAACCCTAAACCCTAAACCCTAAACCCTAAACCCTTGAGGATGGAGTTTCGGCGCGAGCTTCCTCTGGCTGTAGGGAAGGCCCCTGCCCCCAAAGTGGCTGAGTTTAGAGCTGCAATGACAGCAGCAGGGGCTCGTCGCTCTTCTCAGGAAGGAAAGAAGCAGCCGCAGCCGAAGCAGCAGCAGAAGCAGCAGCAGCAGCAGCAGGAGGAGGAAGCAGCACACAATAAAAGGGAGACAGCAGCAGCACAAGGAGACACCGGAGAGGTGGAGCAGGAGCAGCAGTCTGCTGCTGCTGCAGGGGTGATTTGCTGCCGCTGCGGCGTGGATGCCCCCGACCTGCTGCTGCTGCAGTGCCAGCACCTGCTGTGCTTGCCTTGTGCTGCAGCACAGCTGCTGCTGCAGTCGCAGCAGAACCCTTTGTCTCCCTACAACTGTCTCCTTTGTCCCTGCTGCAGTAAGGAGACACTCCTCTCGGACAAAGCAACAGCTACCCTCGTCAGGCAGCAGCCTCATGCACCACGACATCAAACTAGACAGCAAGCCTCAGCAACAGCAACAGCAGAAGCAGCAGCAGCAGCAGCAGCAGCAGGAGCAGCAGCAGTAGCAGGAGGGTTAAGGGGCCCCAGTGGGGGCAAGGAGGAGGTGCTGCTGCCTGCAGCAGCAGCAGCAGCAGATGCTGCTGCTGATACTGAGTGGCAGTTTATTTGCTGCACTTGCGAGAAACGAATCTCTGTTGTATTTTGTAGAGATTGTGCTGCGAACTTTTGTAAAGATTGCGCTGTAGAGACGCATGCACCCAGAGGTATGCTAATGTGTCTCCTTTTCTGTCTCCTTTGTTTCATTCTTTCGTTTGCTGTTGATTTGTCTGCGTCTTTGTTTGTTTTTTTGTCTCCTTTCCCCCTTTGCTTGTCCGTCTGTTTGTTTGTTTGTTTGTTTGTTTGTTTGTTTGTCGGCTTTGTTCGTTTTGTTTGTTTATTTGTTTGTTTCTTGCTCTTCCTCCTTGTTTGTTTGTTGTTATCTTTGCTTGTTTGTTTCTGTCTCTGTTTCACTGTAAGTTGCTTTGTCTCCCTTTCTTTCTGTCTCCTTTATGTTTGTAATATTGCTATCTTCTTTATGTGTTTCTGTCTCTGTGGCTGCTGCTCTTCAGCTGTCTCTTCTTCTTCTGTCTCCTTCGTTTGATTTGCAGTCTTCCGCTGTCTCCTTTGCTGTATTTCTTTGTATGAGGGGTGTCTCCTGGTGTCTCCTTATGTATGGTTCTATTTCTGCTTCTTTTGATTTGTCTCTTCTTTTACTTTGCTTGTCTTCTGTGTCTCCTCGACGTTGCTTCGTCTCTGCTGTTTGCTGCTGTCTCCTCTTAGCTTCCTAGTGGGGGCCGTCTGTCTGTCTGTCTCCTTTTCTGTTTCTTTATTTCTGTCTTCTTCTCTCTTTGTCTCTTTTCTTAGCTCTATCTGACTCTCTTTTTGTCTCTCTTTGTCTTCACTCCTCGTTCTCTCTCTGTCTGTCTCTTCGTCTTCTCTCTCTGTCTGTCTGTCTCCTTCACTGCCTGTCTGTCTTTTTTTCTTCTCTCTCTGTCTGTCTCTTTCTCTTCTCTTCCTAATTATACTCCTCTATCAATCTATTTTTATTTCCTCGCCTATGTGTCTCCTTTCTTTGTCTCTTTCTGTGTTTGCTTCTGTTTCTGCTGTATGAGTGTCTCCTTTTTCTTTTGCTTCCGGTTGCCTGTGAGTATATATATATATCTATATATATATATATATATATATATATGTATGTATGTACATGTATATATATATATAATATACATTATGTATATGTATTTCTGTATCTTTTTTGTGTATTTGTTTTGTTGTTGTAATGTTTTTAATGCTTTGTGTCTCTCTTCTGAATGCGTTGCGGTGTATATGCAGGTGCAGACCCCTCCGTTGTTGCTCGTTTGTCTCAGCATCGTTTTTCTCCTTTGTCTTCTCGGGGTGTATGCCCAACTTTACCTCTTTCAAATGCAGCTCGCTGCAAGTTGAGGGCAATAGATCATTATAAGAGGCTGGATGACTGCGAGCCTTTTCTAGAAGTTGCTGCTGCTGCTGCTGCTTCTGCTTCTGCTGGTGCTGCTTCTGGTGCCTCTAAGACAGCAGCAGCACGCGGGGGCCTCACAAAGCAGCAGCAGCAGCAGCGGCAGTCTGGGCGAAGACGCTCTGCTGCTGAGAGCAGCAGCATTAAGCAGCAGCTGCTGGAGGAGGAGATAAGTGAAGGAGACAGCTCTCGAGTGTCTCTTGAGGAGGTTGTTAATACGAGAGTGCCTGTTAATGCCTTTCCTCGTCTTTGTTCTGTCTCCTCTGTCCCTTGCGACCTGCATGCAGGTAAGCCTTCGCAGTTTTTCTGCTGCAGCTGCGGGGGCCCCGCTGTATGTGCAGAGTGTATAATCTCCGGGCCCCATCAGAGACACCCGGTTGTCTCTGTGGAGACAGCTTGGCTAGAGGCTCTAGGGAGAGTAGAAATAGAATTAAATGCTGCTGTTGAGAGAACAGAAGAAGATGTTGCAAGCGCGCAGGCCGTCTTGCGAGATTGTCGGGCAGAGTGGTCTTCGTCTTTGGCGCAAGACAAGCAGCTGCTGTCTCTAACTTTATTTCAGGTGAAGAGACAGCTACAAGAGAAGCAAAAGGAGACACTTGCGGCTTTCGCGGCTTTCATTGAGGGCTTCTCTGCTGAATGCAACGCATTCAGAACCCTCATACACACCAAAATGAAGCTCTTAGAGACACGCTGTGCTGCAGTAGCAGAGAAGAAGGGGGCCCTAGACCCACACCTGCTTCTTACCTATCTAGGAGATGAATATACTGCTACTCAGAAACTAATAGATGCAAATATACCCGCTTCTTTTAAACATCTACCCGACAGCAGAAATGCATTACTTGATAATCTCCAGCAAACCACAATAGACCTCCTCGGTCATCTAGCAGTGCTGCGAAGTAAAATACAAAACAAACAATCATCTAACATTTAGCAGGGGGCCCCTATATACCTAAATGCAACGGGGGGCCCCCTCTGCTGCTTCCTGCTGTCCCCTTGCTAATGTCCCCTATTAAGGGCCCCTTTCTCCGGCAGCAACAACACAGCAGCAGCAGCAGCTGAGCAGCAGCAGCAGTGCAGTAATAGCAACCTCACTTTGCTGCTTGCTGCTGCCTCCATGGGGACTGTTCCTGTCTCCTAGAGAACCTGAAGGACTTGCAGCAGCCTCCAAAGGAGACACTTGTGAATTTTTCTTGTTCTTGTTTGCTTTAATCTGACTCTGTCTTTTTTTCGATGTCCCACGTTGGTGCAAACACCATTTGCACTGTGGGGTGTCTTCAGATGTCTCCTTCTGTCTTCACCTGCCTGTCCCTGCTTTTTTGTCTCCTTCTGTCTCGGTCTCCTCTCGCTCTGTCTGTCTCCATCTTAGCCTGCCTGCTACTCAGGTGTCTCTTGTCTGTAGCCCTAAACCCTAAGACCCCTCCAGTAAGAGCTTGCTAGCTTCTCCTAAGGTAAAGAAGGCCTAAGATAAAGAAATCTTAATTAAATTCTACCTCCTCCCCACGGTGTGCGCCTCTGTTAGGGCTTAAGGTTTAAGGTTTACGGTAAAACAGAAACGGATACAGAAGAGACAGCTGACGCGTCCCTGACTGCTTTGTCCCCCCCCCAATGAGGGGGGTATCATCTAGGGGGCCTCGTGGGGCGCCGCTAGATGGGGGCCCCCAAAGAGGCCCCCCATATTCTTGCTGCCCTTTGCAGCTTCTGAAAAGGAATGATAAGCGTAAGTACAACCGTCCTCCGGAGCAGAAGGGGGGCCCCTAACAAAAAAATGTTAGAAAAGGGGGACCCTTTAACACACATTTCCCCCCCTTCCTCCCTCACCAGACACCTGAACTGTGGCTAGAAGCAAACAGCTCAAGAGGCGGTGGGGCCCTTCCAGAAGCACAGCGCATGGGGCCCCACGCAACGCATAGGGGGCCCCCAAGTAACATAAAGGAAGCCCCAACACCATATGGGGGGCCCACCTGCAACATATGAGAGCACCAGCAACACACGGAGGACCACCAGCAACAGATGAGGGGCCCCGCTGCAACATTTAAAGCCCCCACACGGATGAAGGGGCCCCCACCAAACAAGGGGCGGCCTCAGAAACGGGGCCCCCCACAAACATTTGGGGGCCCCAATAGGGTAGCACTTGAGGCGCAGAACGCAGCCTTACAGATGCAACCCAACGAGGAAACTAGCGTCCTGATGCGCGACCCCCTCAAGCTGCCTTCGCTGTTGCCGCGTGCCTCCTGGGGGCCCCCTGAGGGGCCGTCTTGAAGCCTCCGCAACGCGCACATGCAAGGGGCCACCATATGTTAGATGGTTTGGGGGTGAGGAAGATAGCGAATGCAGATAAGACTGCCCTTTTCTTTGGCTCCAAGTCCGTAGAACCCTGTAACGGAGTTGGGTCTTCTGGGCCCCTACCTCCTCCACACTTTCCTTCTGTTTCTGGTGCGTCAAGCTGCGCTTGAGGTCTCTCAAACCTCTCCTGTTGCTTTACTGCAGGGGAGGGGCCATCACAACGAAGAGGGGCCCCATCACAACAAGGGGGCCCCACATAAAGAAACGAATCTCCCATCAAAGAAAACGCCTCCCCGTACCACAATGAAGGGGCCCCCCCATCCCAACGAAGGGGGCCCCCCACCAACATACGGCGGCCCCCCATCACGACGAACGGCCCTTCAACACTCGCCCCAGTAAATCTGAGTGGCAACCTGTATTATAGCGCTGCTGCCCTTCGTCAGTCTTTGAGCGGTTAGGGGGCCCTGGGGCCACTAAGGGAAGGGCACTCTCGACCCACTTTGTCGTTGGGTCCCTTTAGTTGGGGCTTCTTCTCGCAGTGGAGTTGTATAAGGGCTGCTGCCGGCCGCATGCGAAGGGCCCCCACAGACCCTGCAGGGCCCCCATGCATCGTTGAGGGCCTCTAGAACCTCTTTCTGCCTTCTATTGGGCCCCTAGGGATAAAAATGAAGAAAAGGGGAGGGGGGCCCCTGCCTGATACACAAGGCCCCAAAGGGGCCCCCCTATAAACCAGCCCGTTGCATGCAAACAAGCCATATTGCTGGAAGCTGAAGCAGGTCTTAAGGGTTAAAACAGACAAACCCTTGAAATATACTTCAGCCTCAGGGTGCGATGAGCTTAGAGTGAGGCGCCAACTCTCCTCACCCTTAAGCTTCAAAAAGGGTGCACCCCACAGAGACTGCTGTACGCCATTGGGGGCCCCTGGGGGCCCCTAATGCATGCCGATGGGGCTTTGTAGATGCCACCACCTCGGAAGAAGTGAGAGCTCTCCGGGCCTCAAGAGGGCATATCTGTCTCCTCGCCGTTTGCTGTCTATCTAGATGCTGATGAAGCGAACGCGGGAACAGATGTTTGGGGCCCCTCTCAAAAATATTGTTAAAATATTTGAAAGAAAGAGGAGACATGCCTTCTTTGTGCGGTGTGTCTCCTTGTTGGAGCCGCAGGCCCCCCCCCCCACACTCCCATGATTGTTAGGGCCTGTTTGGGGGCCCCTTAGCAGCAGCCGAGGCGCTGAAAAGCTGAGGGAAAGCGGCAATAGTTTGCCTGATGGTGGGACGTACACTGGGGTCTGGGTGGAGGAGACAGCTGATGAGGACAGCCCAGGTCTCTCCAACGCCTCTCCCTCGCAACTCCAAATAAGGAGAGGTGTACGCATCCGCAAGAGATATATTTCCTTTGCTGCGCCGGGGGGAACCCCCCGACTCTGGCCGTGAAGCAGCAGTGCCTGCAGCAGCAGGAGCAGCTCCTGCTTGCGAGGGGCCCCCGCCGAGGCCCCCCAGGAGCGGCGAGCCGGTGCTCTTAGAGGATTGCAACAGAGCTCTAGCAAAGTGAGTCTGCTGCTCTCGGGTATACGGTCTCTTGCCCGTGAGGACAGTATAAATGAGGGTGCCTAGCTGCCAGGTGTCTGTCCCCTCGGTGTTGGTTACAGCGTCTCCTTGCTGCAGCTCAACGATCTGCTCTGGGGCTAGAACGAAGATATTAGGGGGTTCATTCTGCTGCCCTGGGGGCCCCGAGGCACTGAACTCGGCGAGGTAAGGAATGCCTGCAGAAGAGACAGCTATGCTCCCCACCTGCAGGTTGTTGTGCAACACTCCTGCCTGATGAAGAGCCCCCAGAGACAGGATTGAGCGCTTGAAAATGTACTGCTGCAGCGGCAGCGGGAAAGGCTGCCCTGTCTCTTCGCGCCGCTGCAGCATTTGCCTCAGGTCTGCTGCTTTTAGAGGGGAGAACCAAACCCTCCTATCAAAGAACGCAGTGTCTGTCCCCCCGATGTCTCCTTCTGATGGAGATCCTAAACGAGCACCATACAGAGGCAGCAACACTGCTGTCCGCTCTGCTGTCTCCTCACCAGTCTCCCCTTTCTGCTGCAGCGCAACCAGCAACCCCCCTTCTAGAGACCCCCGACGGGGCCTCTCCTCCAGAGAAAAATCTTCGGCCTCATCATCTGTCTCCTCAGCTGTCTCCTCAGCTATTTCCTCAAGTGCCCCTCCCCTTATCTTTTGGGTATGCCCATCTTCCTGGGATTGCGGCTCTGTCTCATGTGCCACTTGTTTTGTCGCCGCTGTCTTTATTTCCATTTGTTCGGTCTCCTCGACCTTTGTCTCTACTTCTTTTGTCTCCTCTCCTGCTTCCCTCTTGCCGGTTGCTTGCTCTGTCTCTCTATTCTCATCAGCCCCCACAAGCTCTTCTGCTGCTGCTGCTTCTGCTGGTGCTGCTGCTGCTGCTGCCACCTGCGAAGTCCCCTCGGGACCCTTCAAGTTGTCTTCGTTTGTCTCCTTTCTCCCGGTCTCCCTTTTTGTCTCTGTCTCTTCTTTACGCTCTGTCTCCCCATACCCGTTGTCTCTTCCCAACAGTCTCCCGCTGCCTGTTGGCCAGATATTTGAGTCTGCAACAACAAACGCTTCTACGTTCTGCTGCAGCTGCTGCTGCTGCTCCAGGAGCTCGCCTGGGGGACTGTGTGAAAACTGTCCCTCCGTTGCTGCAGCATCTGCTGCAGCATCTGCTGCAGCATCTGCTGCTGCGTTTGCTGCTGCGTCTGTTTGCGGCCATTCGTTGGGGTGGGAGTCAAGGAGACTGTCTCCGTAGCCTGAAAAGAAGGAGCTGAATTCTGTTGGTGTCTCCTCTTCATCGCTATCTTCCGTGCTGGTATCTCTGCCTGCTGCATCTTGCTGCAGCTGCAGCAGCAGAGACATACCTAGGGGCCCCTCTCCCACTGTCTCCTTAAGCTGGTGCCCCACAGGCACCACTTCGAAGGTGACGGAGATGTTGGAGACCCCGAGAACCCTTTGCCACTTGAATTCAGCTGCTGCTGCTGCTATGTCTGCTGCTGCTGCCGCTGCTGCTGTTCCTGCTGCTGCTGCTGCAGGGCAGTGAAGACCCGTCACCCAGAAACTATGGTCTCCTTCTTCTGTTTGCTGTTTGCTGTGGGACGACAAAATGGAGATGGCTGCCTCAATCTTGCGGTGCTGCTCGAGTGTGTACACCTGCTGCTGCTCCTCCTCATGCTGCTGCTGCTGCTGCTGCACCAGCAGCGCTAAGCCCTCCTCCGCCGTCCGGTCCCGGTGTCTCCTCAAATCAATTGTCTCTTCAGAGCTGCCCTTCTGTTCTCCTGTTGCCTTCACCACAGCAGCTCTTGAACTGTCGAGTACAAACTGAACGAACCGCGCGGATGTCTCTACAACATCAGGCGACTCCTGAACACAAACCCCAAACCCTAAACCCTAAACCCTTGGGCGCTCAACCATGCGAAAGCACCTCTTCCCCAGCCACGTCTCTCATAGCAAGGGGTTCTACACCCCACACCAAAAGCACTAAACCCTAAACCCTAAACCCTAAAGTATTGAAGGCCTGGTAAGAGTATTTTGGTTCCCAGCCACATCCATGCCACTCATAATAAACTCTACACCCCGGATCCTCCACTCTAAACCCTAAACCCTAAACCCTCTTTTACCGCGAAGAACGGGTCGGAAGCAGTCTTCACATCTGTCTCCTTGTGCTCCTCGTCTCCGTCTTTGTCTCCTTTTGCTGGTGTCTCTGTACAATCTTGAACGCTGTGGTGTCCCTCAGGATTTGGGGGAGCTCCTGGATTTTCCAGGGGTAAGATGGTGGCTGCCTGCTGTCGCCGCCGTTGCTGCTGGTGCTGCCGGTGCTGCTGCAGCAGCAGCAGGTCGCTGTGGCTCCTCAAATCATTCAAAAGAACAGTCATTATTGCAAGCAAGATAGACAAAGTCAGCACTGCTCTCCGGCGGGAGGGGCCCTTGCTTTGAGTGTGGGGCCCCCGAAGCGCCCCACTGGGCAGTGCATTGGGCCTACTCAGAATGCCTCGGGCCCCTGAGGGCCCCGGGGGGGCCCCGGGGGGCCCCTCTGTAGGCTCCTTTTGGGAGCCCTCTAACTTTGTTACGCTGGAGCCCCCTGCAGCCCACAAAGCAGTCTCATGCTGCCCAGCAGAGACGGAAGCAGCTGTAGAATAGAAGTCCAGAGGGTGTGGGGATTGAGAATTAACAGATTCGCTTTCTGCTGATGCGATCCAACCCCGTGTTGTTGCTGTCTCTGTATCAGCCCTCGAGACACTGTCTTGTATCTGCATCGCTAAACCCTAAACCCTAAACCCTAAACCCGAGACGAGATCAAGGCAAGCCCACCAAAGCACAAACCCCACCCAGAGCACCTAAACCCTGCTTTCATCTACACAAGCAAACCCGCCTAATACCTCAACCGTAGACCCTAGCAACACACTTGCACCCGAAGAGCGGCGGATCCATAGGGAGATCGAGCCGGGGGCCACCACAGCACATACACCCAAAAAGCATTTCTAAAAAGGTCCTTCTACACTTCAGAAGACTTAAAGCTTTAAACTTTGTCGAGCAGAATATCGGGGCTTTGGTCTGAGACTCGAAGCGCCGTGACTCTGGCCTACCGTGCATGCAGCCACCAACCTTGTTATATAGAGCAAGCAGTGAAATAATGCAGGTGGGAATTAGGGTTTAGGGTTTAGTTTTTAGGGTTTTGTGGCTGACTGAGTTTCTTGGCGCTTATGGCCTAAATGCCTTAAGACATGAGCTAGCTAAAGGAGGGCGTAAGATCAACCAACGAGCACTCGGCCTGAGGTTTAGGCATGCTATATTAGGTTTAGGGGGTTCTGGGAAGTTTATTAGTGGTTATTTGTCATATGAAATGTTTCACATCTGAATAAATTTCGGTTGAAGTTTTTCTCGGCTTCCGTCGTTGTTCCCTAACAGGGGCTGCCCCTACACCGCTCACTGCACCTATTGAACAGCAACTAAAGCGGCAGGTGAGGGTCTCCAAGTTCTCCTGCTTGTTTCTGCTAAGCCGCCTCAACAAAGCAAATAGAGGGCAGAGGACAACAGCGTCAAGGACTGCATGATTCTACATGGGCATGCAGCATAGACCGCAGGTGCTGCCTTCACTTCGTTATAGCTTAGGTGGTTAGCGGAAATGCCTTTCACCCGGGCGACCCGGGATCAGTTCATGGCGACGGTTATCAAAAGCCCAGAGACGGAACTAAAAATTCTAAACTGGACTCGCCCATCAGCTATGTGGCTCCGAAGCTACTCTCATGGTGCATTTTGATGCTTCTCCGCGGATAACAACAAGCTTTTGGTAAATATGCTGCCCGGTAGCTGTATCGAAGGAGTAAGACCAATGAGTATCATAGTTCTATGGTAGCAAACGTACTCCATCCGTAGAAAAGCGCTTAATCCATCAAGGAGTGAGACATCAAATGGTTGGTCAGGCTTCAGCTCTGTCTGCACGTCAACTACGCTGCTTTTACAAGAGTTGCTGGTGGGCTATTGGCTTCTACCCGTTGGCACTGTATGCTGAGTCGTGTAAAATTTCATACAGGAGGCTGCATTGAAGGACTCTGGAGGAGACGTCGAACGTTTTGTTGCTGCAACCGAGTCGCCGCAGAAACGTTGACTGGTGGCTGCAAACGAGCAGCCAGTGAATTTAAATGGTTTCGGTTGTAGACTCGATGGTCATCCGTCCTAGTCTAGGTGGTTAGGTTACGCAGCTCTCACCCGCGCGAGCCGAGTTGAAGTCCCGGCGACGGAGGCCCATGCACACTTCAGCATTTCAGTTTTACGGTTTTGAGGAGGCATCAATGGGAATTAGATCAGCGCAGAATCTGATCTCCAAAGTGTAAGGGCTTGTGAAAAATTTCGTCGTGGGGATGAAATGAGCCAATTTGTTGAGTGAATCGACCGCTACTAAAATTGAATCATTCCCCGCGGTAGTGAGAGGCATATCAGTAATGAAATCGAGACTCACATGACACCACCGACGCGAGGGAATAGATGCTGTTGATGGAGACCGACAGGCTTCTGGTTGAGCGATTAAGATGCGCGACAGTGCACGCCCACGCACGCCGTAGTATAGGCACGCGTGCCTGGCCAGTAGTCATATATCATGAAGGCCTTCTTCGGACCTCGATGTCTTGCTGTAGCATGACCATCGTGGGTGTAAAGGACGTGTGAAAGAAGCCCAGAGAATTGCGGAACGTCGGTGTGCCACATGCCATGAATGCCGACGCGCCAGTAAGGCGTCACATAATGGAAGGTCAGTTGGCGACTGCGGAACTCAGACTGGACGGATTTCTCAGTTTGTTGCACCGGTGACAACAACGCGGCGTTATAGGGGCCGCGAAAGGCTGGACACCTACGGTAGGCTGCTCCCTAGTCGTTGGCGTTACGGAGGCCTGTTTTTTATGGTGACGCAGATGCAGGTTCCTCAATGGCCTGGCTTGGCTCGGGTGTCGGAGGTGATCTCTCGGAGTGTTGCCTAGGTCTTCGTGAACGAATGCTGGCCAACTTTTGATAGTTTGCCTGCCTTCCCCTGGTGTTGTGAGCCTGGTCTGAATGTTCTGCGGCCAGCATGATTGCTGCTGGCGGCCCTTGTAATGGTGTCGCGGGTACGCTATGCGCGCTTAACTGGCGGGAGGTCGCATAACAAGGGAGTCGAGATAGCGCGTATGCAATGCCGCACTGATTTCGCGCACCTTGTAAGTGGCACTAAGATCTGGGGGCTCAGCACGAAAGTACAGCACCGAGAAGTGCGTCCATGCAGAAGCTTCGACACTACGAGCTGTTGTAAGTGGATCAAGGGCTGGCAATCAGTATGCGCCGTAACCCTAGCAACACGTAGCATGTGAGACCGCCTGTCAAGAACGGTAACCAGCGCCAAACGTTCTTGATCGTGCATCGAATATTTCTGCTGGGTGGGGTTCATAACCTGACTGAGGAACGGAATTGTCTTGCCGGCTTGCACAACCACCGCTCCAATTGTTTAGCCTGAGGCATCGACGTACAGCTCGCAAGGTTTCGTGGTGTTGGAAACGTTTAACGTTGTATGTTCAATTAAACGGTACTCAAGCTGCCTCGCCTCTTGTGTATGAGCTGCTCTCCAGTGAAAGTGAGCTTCCTGGCGAATTAGATCAACAAGTGGACTCGCGACCTCGGCGAAGTCAGATCTCATAAGCGTACGGCAATAATCGCCATTGCCAAGAAACCGACGCGTTTGTACTCAGATCCAACCAACAAACCCTTATTTTGCCTCTTTCCAGGGCTACGACAGGGCTGCGTGGACTCGCGCTGGATACGGGTGGCGTTAAACACTCCATTCCTATGCCTCACATGCGGATTTGCTCATGTCAAATCCCTGCATCATGGAAGCAAAATTAACGACGATGTTGGATTAGAGCCACTTGGTTGCATGTGAGCGCCTGGAGACAGAACTGGCATTTTGGATTTGAAGGGCTCGGAGTGGGGCAGCATGCCGGTCGGACTGCGCAAGTGTGAAGGCTTATTGAGGATAGAGGAGGGGAATAATGATCATGGGACG